AAATGCATGAACAGCCAAGTCTTGCCATTAGAAAATAAATCAGTTTTTGTTTCTGTATTTGACTGTAGGACGAAACGGCACCCTGACAATACGTCACAGGCAGGTCCAATTCATATCTTTTACAATAGGTCGTTTTCGTTCATGCGTCGCATATATGTCCAGAAAATTTAATCGAGTGTATGTGTGTATTTATATTTTATTTTTGGATTCTTATTTATAATAAATACAACGCTGCAGATTGGTCGTTAAAATTGAGTCTACGGTAAAATTGTTTTGACAGAACGCTCTTCTCCCCCTCACTGCTCATTTGATTTTGACTGTAAAGTCAACCCGACGTTCACCCACCAGATCACAAGAACTCAAATCTCACACGAGATACTTTTCCGACGATGTATAAATTACCGAACGCGCGATGTTTCAAATCATGCTATGTTATATTTAAACAAGCAATTTGTAATCCGTTCTTAGTATGTTTATATCAGTTGTTGTTTTGTGGGATTAGCGGTACAGGGGGAAAGATAAGCATTCATTTACTCAGTGGACAGAGGCGGAGTTAATTACCCATGAGCACTTGGTGCAATCCAAGGGATTAGGCGGTTCCCCTTTAAAATACAAAAAAATACCTTTCTTCAATGTTGGATTTTAAGAAAATGACATAGTCACAATGTATTGGTATTTCGATTTGTAAAAATGTAGCAAAGTAACAACTTCTACATTAAAAGAAAATTGATACTTGTTTACTATATAGTTTTTGGGTATGAACATTTAGTGCGGAATGATAGAGAACAGCCAAAGGGTATGTGGCGGTTACTGGTTACTGGACACTGATATGTGAGATCGTACATTTCCGTCATTCAGGCAATTACGTATGAAGTAACCAGTAGCAGGATACAAGTTGACAATATAGAACACGAACATGGACTATACTAGTACCTCAGAGTACTATAGAACAGACTAGCAACGCGGCTTATCCATTGGTCAGATGCGTGCCACAACCGATCGAACTAACGCGACTAAAACGTAATAACGCGATGTCCTTTATTATTTCATCAAATAACGCGAGATAGTGCGAGATATACACAAAGAGTTGCATTCGTTAAGTCGTAGTTCATTTTCTTTTGTCCCCACAAATGCGACAAAACATAGGCTAGTTATTTCTATGTTATTCTCCGTGTTTCTGTAAATATACAATTATGTTTCATTAAAATATAAACTTCCTGCTGAATATTAAATGACTTCAAGCCATTAGTTGGGTGAGCATATCAAGTTTTCAAACACATTGTTCACAAAAACTACGAAGCGTCCACACAAAGGAACACTGTCGGCGTCAACACCGCTATTTGACCTTTATAGAAAGAAATCCACAAATTCTGGGAAAAGTCAAAATAATGAGAAATATTACTATAAATTTGCTCATTATGTATTCATAAATATCGTAGAAGAAAGTGAGAAAAATTTAAAATGCTGTAACTCATCCAAAAATTGACCGATTTGAACAGAAACGACGACGATCAAAAGGTCAAAACTCACAGGTGTCATCAAATCTGAAAGTATGCTTTCGGAAATGCTAGTGTTCGGAAATCTTCGGGTTAACCTTAGACTCTGGAGACAAACGTTGTCAATAAACTACTGTAAAATACTAGTACTTTATTTTCGCTTGTAAATAATTTTCCCTATTTTCGCTAAAGGAATGATTCAGTGAAAATAATATCCAGACAAAACACCCAAAAAGTTGGGTCTATAATTTTGGATAAAAATATACGTAACCACACTACATATTTTTGAGGGTAATATAAATGAAATTGCAAACATTTGGCCCACAATTTGGATACCACATGTTTAGACCCTCGCTGTTGCCGCCATACGATTACACTTAACCGAAATTACAGTTGCCATAGGGTTAAGTTAGACCCCCGTTGTGGCTACCTGATTTCATCCATATTGCAGTTGTGTACGTCCAACATTGTGGCTGCCATATGAGTGTTAATGACAATTGCTCGTTTTAATTTCATAACCACTTATTTCCACATTTTGTCTAGGTTGCACTACTAGAAGGATTATCATAGCATATAAGTTAAGTTGTATTTATTATTTTTGGACATGTGCTAAATACTGTGAATAATTACAGGCAAACTGACACGCAACACAAGATTCAAACTCAATATTGTAAACTCATAGTAGCTGATAACATAAGTAAAACGAGTGAATTACACCAAATACACGGCAAAGGGAGCGAGCGTCAGTTCTAGTCATGCATCATTACTTTTTTTATTTCAATTTAACATTGTATTCACCTTGCTGTGTATTCAGTTTCATTCACTGCTTATTACCATATATACAAGGCATTGAGCTCGTTTTCTCAGTGATGCCGCATTTTATTTTTAGGCTTTGGGCGCAGCAGCCCTGCAAGCGGAGAAGTCGAAGATGAGCGCGTTTTTTAGGATTCTCCTGGGGCATTCATACTTGATAACGGGAAGGTAATGTTAGAAGATTTCTTAGCATATCTTTCGTGGATAAATCCTGTGTTGACTGGCTTGAAGGTGTTAAACTGTACTTTTAATTAATTTTTTGGTCGTGATCAAAATTGGTATCTCCAGACACACATTTCAGGCGATTTGAGTTTCAAAAACTGGATTGACAACTTGCAAAATACTAGTTCTACTACAGTGGCGTCATTTAGCCAAGTAATGTCATCTTCTCGACATCTAGAAAATGGCTGCCACTATCGTTACGTAGGTTTAGAGACCTAAATACCGGAAAAACAACAGATAATTTTTGTCGCGGTTTTTGCGCTGTTCAATGAAAAATACTACCAATTGATGGTAGTTTCGGTTGGGTGTTATGTGAAAATGTGCACTTTTGTCGACTTTTATTTCGATGCCATTTGGTGTCACACGTTTGTGTTTCGCAAGGTTATGGGAGAAATCATAAGTCTTCTATTTCGATAAAATTTCAATATTCAAAAACATCAACTTTAATGACATCAAAAAAGAAACGACTAAAATATCATTACAAAGACGAAAGATCGACACAAGGAGAGCTATGGACCACACAACGTGACTCCCACGATTTTTGTTACACCTACATTTGATTGTTCTCTCTTGGCTCTTTGGCCGACACCCGAATAAAGTTCTACAGTAACCAACTTTATTCCACGTTAGTTATAATTTCTATTCGGGGAGCAAAATAAATTATGAAACATGAGCCACTTGATTGTATACGTATATATATGTATATGTATACGTTGTAACTTAATTCACATCACATTTTATCATATATTCAACATTTACAGGAATGCGAGGCTGAAATGGATCAGTTTGTATGTGGATTTAGTTATATAACGTATGAAAATCTTGCTGAACCAGTGAAAATAGTCGGACGTGAAGGGCAGGAGTACACATGCGAGAAACGATTGGTGAATAGACAATTACAAGGTAACTACATTTGATTGTACTATCGTAGTTGCCAGAGTATAAACCGGTGCTCGAGTATAAGCTTCCGTGGACCCCTCCAAATTTACGGCATTTAAAACAAATCAATTATCCGATTATAACCCGTCCACCATGCACAATAGAACTGAATGACACAACATGCTTTCTCATTTCCTAGCTAAACGTGTTATCACACCGATCATTGCATTCTCCAGGGTGACAGGAATTGACAAGACGCGTCCTGTAGTACTGCTGTATTGCGTTCAATAATGATTTTTCAACAAACCAAACAAGGAGTCACTTACAGAAATTGCCGGCGTCATAATTGTTAATGAATTTCATCTATAATAAACCCTTCATATTTGGTTTGGCCGAGACCAACAAATCATACAGGATTTGATAGAGTGCCGCCTTTGTAAATGTCACCGGGTGCCAATCTTCACGAAAATGAGGCTTGGTCTTTCTGGGACCACAGTCACTCTCCTAATAGAGTGACTGTGCTGGGACAGTTGTCCCATCACATTACAACGAAACTTTGTACATATATGCTCTAGGTCAATGCACAGACCTGATAAATTTTGGTTTAATATCTGTGCATATTAATTTACATAATTACTAAATTTATTACTTTTCCGCTGATATTTCAAGTACTAATCATCATATGTCAATGAAACTTGGTATATAAATGCGCTAGAACAGTTCACAGACCTTTTTAGTTTTTGTTTGAATGTGTGCATATTAATTACCTAATCGCTGTCTCGAGCTCTAATCACATTTCAATGAAACTTGAAACATGATGGTCTGTGCAGACTTTATTAGTTTTGCATTAACATCTGTGCATATTAATTATTAATTGCATAATAATTAGTTAGTTCAGCTTTTTCATCAATATCCCAAGTACTTATTATTGTTTTAAAATGCTACTAATTCGTTTTGGGGTTATATACATCCATAATGATTACCTAATTCGATATATGCCCCGATAAGATCAAATCAACCTTAAGAAATAAAATTTGTATAGATAAACTGCAATCAAAGAAAGCTCAGATAAACTTCCGTGTGCTGAGAGTATTGAAGACATATTAACAATTAATAAGCCTTCCAAACAAGAAGCTGGGAAACTAAAATTTGCCTGCTATTTGAGATGTACAACGTGAAAACAATGTGATTCATATTATTGAAGTTTATAATACAGAAAATACATTTGGTTTTACATCTGTGGTTATCAGTCTAAATTAATCCAGAGCACCTCTATCACAAGTTCATTTTTTTGGCTAATAAGAATTAGATAATAAGTATGCATGTTTTTCATTATTAAACTAATCACGTCTGTGCATTATCCAAGAACATCTGTCAACCAAATTTCAATGCATTTTTCCCAGGCACTTGTATAGCAAGTCTTATTGAAATGCAATAATTGTTTTTATTTTTACACCAAAC